CCAATCCCTTGTGGTTTCTAATTTTTTTTTATTTATTTAGTATCATTTCATGGTACCTATACCCACCCACTGATTATGAAACCCACATAGAATCATAGCACAATTACTCCTGGATCGAAAAAACGACAAGAAATTCACAAAATTTATGCATCGAATGTATGGAGTTTCTCCCTACGGGGCAAACTCCAACCGATTGCAAAAACAGCTATTCTAACCCCGGTAGTTGTGACGTGCTTCAATGTGGCATGTTTCTTTCCAGTAGGACCTACTAGTCTTCACCAACATGTTTGGCTGGAGGGGGGATCATGGTAACAGCTAATCTCATAAATCTCTTCCTCATAACTGTTAAAATATGAAAATAACCGTAAAACATTATAAATTCCATTGAATATTTATGTAGAATTGAACGTGATTAAGGACAACAGAAATATCAAAGTGATCTGATTATTTTTTTTATTTTATTTCTGTTTTAAATGAATTTTTATATTTGTGAGACAATTAAAAACAATTTTTAATGTCTTCGATCGATCCATATCCAATAATGAGTGAAACCAATTCAATCACTTCATGATCTCAATCACAAGCCAATTCAATTTAGAATGCACCTTTCAAATGTGATCATCATATTGATTACTTATTTTCATGAAAAATAATACAGGTGTACGGTGGCGCAACTTCGTGGATTGGTTGGATTTAGACATTAACACCGTTGGATGCCGGCTCAGTGGTTAAGTGCTCGTGCGCGAAGCCAGTAGGTCCTAGGTCCGAATTCCGCGAGGTGCGGGGTCGTGGATGCGCGCTGCTAAGGAGTCCCATACTAGGACGGAACGGCCGTCCAGTGCTTCCAGGTTTTCCATGGTGGTCTAGCTTCAATCGACTCATTATTTCAACCTATGGAATTTCTAATACAGTTTTCTTTAGAGAAAAAGTTTTCTAAAGAGAACTCCTTTAAATAGCCGTTATTCTTTATTTGACTTAGTCATCTGGATGGTCTTTTTGTGGCTCCGGGATCTGAATTCAATTAGATCATAATGTTGATCGCTATTGAATGATTGCTGTTGAAATATACAGCCTGACTATTCTCGTGAATAGTTATCGAATTAATCCGCGTTGGTGAATAACGGAATTAAATAAGTCAAATACGAGAATACGTATATTTTGTACAATCATTGATTTGAACAGACAATCAGAGGGACGAAACGAATAGAAGAGAGCTAAGTGAAATGTCACGCAGTGGAGAAGGCATGTGAGCCAACTTCATTTAATCAAGCGTTGATCAATATTTATAGCCAGATAAAAATAAGTTACAGACATATAACGAATAGGATAAGAAGTGTACACACATATATGCCCATATAAAAACAGTCAAGGTCGATAAGTGAATAATTAACAAGGTTAAAACGTGACTCAAGAAGAACGGATAAATTGGTCTAACCGAAAGCTAGAATAAGCTATGTGGGCTTAACATAGTAACTCACACTACAGTCTGTTGGTTTGTATCCAGCAATAAAATAATTCAACTTGATGAGGAATTATTTTGATGATTTCATTGGTTGAAATCATGAGTCGATTGAAGCTAGACCACCACCATGGAAAACCTGGAAGCACTAGATGGCCGTTTCATCCTAGTATAGGACAACTCAGCAGTGCGCATCCCTTATCCCGCCCACCTGAGCCGGCATCCAACAGTGTTAATGTCTAACTTCAATTAATTCACAAAATTGAGCGACACATCCACCATTGTCTTCAGTGAGTTACTATCTCACAACAAACCTGGTTGAACTCCACTGATCACTGCTTCTCACTAGAACTCCAGGAAATAGCTTTTCAAGCCAGTCACTAGTGAGCATATGTTGATCATTATCAGAAGGGGTTTTGTGGATATTATGATAATTTCAATGATTGAGATCATGAGTCCCACAATAGGACGAAACGGCCGTTCAGTGCTTCCAGGTTTCCCATGGTGGTCTACTCTTCAATTGACTCATAATCTCAACCACTGAACTTACCATAATATCCACAAAACCCTTCTGATATGAATTATTTTGATAGTCTAAAGATTACGAATATAAATAAAGTGAAGATTCTCATTCAAATATTCAAGTAAAATGACTTTGTACACTGACTCTCTTTACCATAATTATTGACACACAACACTACAGAGTGGGAAATAACAGAAGTTCTTTAGAAAATGTTTCTAAAATACATTGATTAATTGTTGCGTAATTATTATTAAATGGATTTCTTATCGAAATAGTTTACTAATTCTTTGATTAGATATGATATAATTACATAACCATTGGTCTATATGTCTTTAATCTGCTATAAATGTTTAATTTGATCGTTATATCTCTATATGCAATCTTCCTCTTATTTATTACCACCTTTGACCTAACCACTGCTATGAATCCGGTGTTCATCTTGTTGTGCTGATGCGGTATGGCAACCTGGACCGATGCACATATGTGCCTGGTCCTACGTTGTAGCTGACTGACTGACTATAATTACCTTATTCAAACCCTTTCCAATCGAGATAAATAAAAGTTTTATAAATCATTACATCATTCAAACAATTTTCTTTTTTTTTCTCCAAAATGTTTAACTATTAAAAAGTTATGAACATTACTGGTTCATTTTTTTCCATGATCGATAAAGCAAGCTTTGTCCCAAAACATTGAACGGAAACTCATCTTTTCTATGAGTATGGGGTTGTGGGGATAATTAAGATTTTGATTGGGATCATAAAACGACTGATGTTAGACCACCATTGAAAAACCTGGAAGCACTAGACGGCCGTTTCGTCCTATTGTGGTACTCCTCAGCAGTGCGCATCCACAAGTCCACGAACGGATCGGTCCATGATCTCAATCACCATCTTTGTAGTTTATATCACGGATAGACCTAAGACAACACTGTCGCTAGGCATTAAATATAAATTATTAAATAGTCAGTCAGTTGCAAAGTAGGACCAGGCACACACATGATCGGTCCAAGTTGCCGCACCACATTAGCACAGCAAGACAAACACCGGATTCATAGCAGTTAACTCAGCTGTAAACTGCACATCTTAGCCAAACCACTAAAAAAACTAGAATATTCGATATTGACAGACGATTGTTTTTCAAGTACACTTACACGCTCGCAGAAGTAGTTAGAGAAATTATGTTACATTTAGCTGTATTTACATATACACCTAATCTCTAATTCATGTAGTCAATCTACAAAAAAAGACAACCCTTTGCCACACTCTTACTCTCTGCCGGAACTAATAAAACCAGATCTATAGAGTTTTACCACTTAAAATATAAACGATTGCAATCGGTCAGCAACCGAGACTGGTTATCAATCACTGATCAGTCAATATAGTTTGACAAAATATTGCAGAAACTAAGTTAGGTAGTAAACTTGAACAAAGAAAAGTATTGGAGAATTTCTTTCTAATAATCTGTTGTAGTTTAACTTTAACTCATGACTGGGAAGGTATATACAATGGGAAATTTCCATGCATAACGAATCCTTAGCCATCACCAAATGAATAGTGAAAAATGATACGAAAAACTTGAGCTACTGATTAAAAATGTCAGTAGATGAATGCTTTCTAGACAAATATTCATGTTCACTAAACAAGATCTAGTGTGTTTCCGCAAATAATTATTTGTGCGAAAATGGATACCCTCAATCAATTATAAAGAAATGTAGCGCCTAACACCAAAGTAAAACGAAATAATACAAACCCGAAAACATCCATGGAGAAAAAAATCCCGAAGACAAGAAAGTTTCTGTCCGACCGTCATTCGAAGGTGACTAAATAATCGGGAAAATCCATAAAAGCAGTTTTGAGAAACACATTCTCTGCTGCGAAGTAGATCTCACTTTACACATTCCTGTGCTTAATAACACAAACAAAACCAGATGAATATCAGTCATATTTTGCCTGCAACTGCATAATAATTTACAAGAAACATGAAGGACAGGAAAACGGTTTTCTCATTTTAATGAGCGTACTTAAAAAAAAACATGACTCTGGGAAAATTGTTTACAAAGTCCAGTAGCACACCGCCTACTAGTTTAACAGGCATAACTTTATTCAAATGAATTCGTTCAAGGTTATCAGTAGACAACCCAACTCCACGTTACTAAAACTCCTAGAAGGTATAACAGTTTAAGGGCTTATACCTGACTTCTGTATCCGAAATGTTAGTAGTTAATCTTCTGTTGTTTTGATGACATTTAGACCTCGCTTTACTTCGATTACTGGTAATCACGATCTATTAAGTTAAACTCATATGCTTGTTTTTCCAAGTTTCTAAAAATTCCATCACATTGCGTAATAAAATCATCTTAATATTCTAGAACTATCACCTCAAGCATTTATAATAAGAATACCCATTCAAAACTTTAGTCCATAAACATTTACACATTTCACACAATTTGTTCGTTGCTTCATATCAGAAGGGTTTTTGTGAATATTATAGTAATTTAAGTGATTGAGATAATGAGTCAATTGAAGCTAGACCACCATGGAAAACCTGGACGACCGTTTCGTCCTAGTATGGTACTCCTCAGTAGTGAGCATCCATAATCCCGCCTCGCGAGATCCGAACCCAGGATCTATCAGTCTCGCGCGCGGGCGCTTACCCATAGGACCACTGGGCCGGCATCCAACGGTGTTATTGTCTAACTCCAACTAATTCACGAAATTGAGCGACACATCCAACATTGTCTTCATTGAGTTACTATCTCACAATAGACCCAGTTGAACTTCATAGGTCACTGCGTCACACTAGAACTTCAGGAAATACCTCTTGGAGCCAGGTTTCAATGATGGTCTAGTTTCCATTGACTCATGGTCTCAACCATTGAAATTATCCGTTACTGATTGACAATTCATCTTTTAACATTATTCTTACTTTATTTGTTTGGAATATTTTATTACAGTTTACACTTAGCAGTATATCACAAATAACTATGCCCACGTTTGTAAATTGTGTAATATATTTATATATTTGAACATGTGGGGCCCTGTATTTCGTCATAATTTAGATCGGACGATGTTTGTTGACGGGCTCTCCACTTTAGTGGCCCGGGATCTGACTCCAAGTAGATCGTATAAATGCTTGTTATCGCCTATCCTCGTATATAATCATCTACTTAAATAAGTCAAATAACGAGAATGGACCTTTGGATACATATATTTTGTACATGAAGCGAATGGAATAGAACAAAGCAAAACGACGGGCAGTGGAGATGGCTGGTAAGCCAACTCCCCCTTTAACCAAGCGTTAATCAACATTTATAGTCACACAAAAATAAGTTACAGACATGTGATGAATAATGGGATAAGAAGTGTACACAAACTTACGTGATCATATAAAAACAGTCAAGGTTGATAAGCGAATAATTAACAAGTTCAGAATGTGACTCAACTAGAATCAATAGATTGAGCTGTCCGTAGGCTAGAATAAGGTATATGGGCTTAACATAATAGCCGACATTACAAACACATAAATATTGGTAAAAGGGGACACCAAATATATATGCGCCACACAAAACAACGAGAATGGGGAGGAATATAAAGGTAACGAGTGCGAAAGAAAGAATGAAGAAGAGTAACAACGACCAGATCAGTGTAAAGAAGTGTAGTAATGATAATAATAATGGGGGAAATGGAAAGGTACAATCGGAAGAATCCTTTCAGTTTAGGAAGATACAACCACTTTTTATGAAGAAAGTAAAAGAAGATTACAGCAGGGTCTCCACTGCCTTCTATTCTGAGCCATATCTGATAACGTCTTTAGCCACTGTGTTGCACCATCTCTCGGACCCCAACCAGGGAGTCGTCAAGGTCCAACACAGGCTAGCCTATTACAGCTTTCTTTCGTACTTCAACACCATGTCACACACTGACCACCTCTCCGCTTTTTCCAACAGAATGAAATGACGATGATACTTGTAGAAGTACTTTGCAGTTCGAAGGTGCAAAGCACATACCGTACCTACGGACAGTGATTGTCAACTGATTAAGTGCGGATTGCATGGCTTGGGCATTATCGCATAGTAAGACAATATCATCCGCATACTCAAGGTCGAGAAGTCTACCCAATGGTAGGTTTATGGATTAAATAACCAATCAAACGTATCGATGATTAGTTATCAATACTTTAAAATAGTAACCATAACTCTGAAGTTCAATGGCGAATATTAAAGTCAATCTTGGAAAATAATAACTAACGTCATAGAGGGTGTTCACGTCGATGGAGAGAATGATTAACAGTGATGAAAAAAAATTAGAATAGAGCATATGTTATTTGAAGGTCACCAACTTCTCAACAGCACCAAGTAGATAGGTTCTAATAAGACTCCCCTAATTAGATAAACATCTTAGAAAGGTGGCATTGAGTGACTGATGAATCATTATATATATATATATATATATATATATATATATATATATATATACGCTGGTTAATACACAAATATGGTAAAATCACACTAGCCGAAGCCAAACCAGGACATACTATAAGTCTATGAAACAACTAACTATATCAAGTCACGAAACGTCAGAAATATAATTTTTCTATTCATCGGGATATAACAAAAATATATTTATCACTAACTATTGGTTTAATCCAAGTGGAGAGATTCAGAATCCCAGGATTGGAACGAATAATTATTCGTAACCTATAGTTTAAGGCATAAAGTGGTATGTCCTGAGATCGATCGCAGTTGTATTCAGTATTTATCTTCTTTTAAAAAAATCAGTAAGCTTAGTGTTATTCTATATTTCCATTCTATGACATCACTCGGACATTGTTATTATTTACCTTCATCTACCTTTCATTTTGTTAATTTTCTCACTTGTGCTCATTTGATGTGTAGCAGCTCGAGCTGATACACATTCATGTCAGATCCTACGTTGTCTATGACCAATTTCAAACTTGTATTACGAAACCATTTATGAACAAAACAAAACAGTCAACGTTGAAAATGATAGTCATTGCAAGCATCTATATACATGATCAATTATGTGAACAAGATAAAATTCATCGAAAATTGCTAAGCAATCCATAAAAAAGAAGAAGATTAAGACTTAATTAGAGAAAAAAAAAGTCGAGTTTATCATTATATGTAGAATAATATTTATTGTATAATCCATCAACTTTTAATTTGTAACTCTACGATTTTTCACCGTGTTGATTTGATTGCTGGATTGTCGATGAAATCGGTTTTATAAATGAATCAATATTTGAAGGAATAAATCCTTGTTGACTAAAACCTCCACTAATATTTATTCCACTACCACCCAAAGGTTTACTATTTTGTATTCTATCAAATGATAATAAACTACCGAATAGAAAATGTTGAACAACTGGAAATTTTTCTAAAACCTAAAAATTATTTTTAAAAAAGAAGAGAATCAAGTTGAGAGATAGATTGCTATGGGAAAATATGATTAAACTAAACAAAAGTTAGATATTAGAAACTACGGACTGAATAGAGATAGTATTTAAAAAGCCTAATATAGTCTGACTACAGTTATTAATTAATTACTGCTAAGTAATTGGAGACAAAAAGAAGTCCCAACTATTAGTTTACTCATACCAAAGTAAATGGAGTGGCCTTCGAACGTGACTGGCTTTTCTGATTAGCGCTTAGCAATGCATCGTTAACTGGGTCAAAGAAAATAATGACAAGAATGTACTCATTTTTCTCGGAGTACATTCACAAGAATCACAGAGGATTCTAGCGAGATAATTTCATCATTGATTTGAGTGCATCTCAATATGGGAAACTATCACCTTATAAGCCGACGGTTATATATATATATATATATATATATATATATATATATATATGCAACTATTGGAACGTAGTTTTTGTAGTTGATCAGAATGTTCTTTAAGTCTGGCTAGGCAGTATTGAGAAGAAAAGGACAGATCACGTTTATCGTTCACAGTAATCAACATTCCAAAAATATTGACGTTTATGCAGCAAGTTATGTTGAATCCTGTATACCAACCGATAAAATCTATGTTTGCTTTAACATATAACTAATGTATCAATAAAAGGCATTGATTACAATTCAAACAGTATAAATCAACTGAAATGAGGAGTTGAGCATAAAAGTAACTTACTTCACCTTTATACATTTTAATTAAACCAGAATTAACTTTTTCCCATTTCGGTACTTCACTAATTCCATACAACGTATGTGAATGTTCTTCAAATGGACCAGTTTTACACTAGTAGTAAATTAAGGGAAATTTAACAATTTAATATTTGAGAAGTTTTATAGTTTTCAAAAATTGGATTTTACATAAAAGTGTATTCCATGATGAAGTTTTCAGTCAGTCAGTTAGTGACAACGTAGAACTTCGTACGTACGTACATCAGTTCGAGTTGCCATACCACATTAACACAGAGATGCAGTTGTCGATTCAAATCTCGTAGTGGTAGAGGTGGCAAGAGTATAAGCAGTAATCGGAAAGATCAGTGTTTGAAGATGTTATTTAAGGAGTACAATACAGTGAAATAAATTTGGAAAGAGGAAAAAAGAAACATGAAGAATTCAGAAGATTAGAATTTATTTATTAATATTTATTTGAACGCGTAAATATTGGTACAAGGAGGCACCAAATATGTATGCGCCACACAAAACAATGAGAATGGGAAGAAAAAAAGGCACGGGGCGTAAAAGAAAAAAAAACAATAACGACCAGATTAGTGCAAGGCAGTGTAATAATAATAATAATAATAATAATAATAATAATAATAATAATAATAATAATAATAATAATAATAATGGGGGAAATGGAAAGGTACAATCGGAAGAATCCTTTCAGTTTAGGAAGATACAACCACTTTTTATGAAGAAAGTAAAAGAAGATTACAGCAGGGTCTCCACTGCCTTCTATTCTGAGCCATATCTGATAACGTCTTTAGCCACTGTGTTGCACCATCTCTCGGACCCCAACCAGGGAGTCGTGAAGGACCAACACAGGCCAGCCCTTTGCAGCTTCCTTCCATAACCCGACACCATGCCATACACTGACCGCCTCTCCGCTTCTTCCAACCAGTCCCAGAGTCGGCAAGTAATGTACAACGTGGAATTGTCTGGGACGACATTCGTAGAACACGTCTAAGCCACCGAAGTCGATGTTTCAAGATGGTGACACCAATCGCATTATCATCCCTGAGCCCGAATACACGATACCAGACCTCTGCATTACTAACATGGTGTTGCCACTGGATGTCAGCAATCCTTCAGAGACAACGATGATCAAACACAGAGAGTCGTCTAAAATCCTCAAGTTGGAGAGGCCAGGTTTCACAAGCACAGAGCAGAACTGCTTTCACCGACGCGTCATAGATCCGACCTTTTACAGCCAGACTAACATCACGAAGGCGCCAAAGATGGCCCAGATTGGCATAAGCCGCAGGTGGTTTTCTTGGGGGGCCACACCCCGAGCCTTTGACCTAAAAGTCTAACCCACAAGGCAGTGGAGCATCGTAAAGAGATGCAGTCCCATGGAAGCCGGTGACCAACAATTGGTTCATACGCCATTTGTTCCCGCAGGATACAGGAGCCCATGTGCACCATTGGTTTGGAATCCAGTTAAAGCGCTTTTTGTCCTCTCATTTTCGTAAACAACACCCCCGCCACGTGAAGGCAGTGAATAGGACTTTCCTGACAGAGGCTGTATACGCGTGGCCGTGTAAGAGCATTTCGAGAGGGGGGGCGAACCCACTCCACTCTCGGTCATACCAGGGGATTTGGGGGCACGAAGAGTGGATGCACCTGTACCATTGCAAACAATTTTGAGTCATGTCATTCAGGGTCTCTGACCATCGGTTGCTATCATCTCGCGGTCCCCAACCAGGTATTCTACACCTACCAACATGTTTTCAGTGAACAAAATAGTCCTTTTAACGATGAATGAACTTACATTCTCTTTTGATGCCACATTATAAATAACAACTGCTAGAGCAAGTCATTATAAGCTCTACCTACCACAAACAAATATATTTGGAAGTACACTTCAACGTTTGACAATTTAATAAAATATGAGCAAGCATAAATCAAAATATTATACGTAAATGTACAAAATTACGTATTAAACGAAATTGCTACACTTCACAATGGACGCATTACTGTGTAGTGAACAATGTCACATTAATCTAATCTTTTACCGCTGAGCAGATTCTATCAACTAAATTGCAATGAAGCCACTAATTTAAGTGACCCAACGTCGTGTGCATTATGTTGAGATGTTAGTTGGTTGAAGATAGTCGGAAGGAAACTCTGGACTTAAGTTTTGTGTTAGCTGACACTCTTCAGCCTCAATAGCTCAGTGTTAAAGTATCAGACTGCGAATGTGGATTATGTGGGTTTGAATACCACACACAGCATTAATTTCCTCAACCACCACCGACTGCCCCGACGTGCGATGTTTTATGGTGTAGGAAAAGGTTGGAAGAAAGCTAGGGGCAGCCAGAACAAAACATGACACGAATCCATGAAGTCACTGACAAGTGGACTGAGTCATGTTGGTAGGTGTAGACTACCTGGTTGGGGACCGCGAGATGATAGCAACCGATGGTCAGAGACCCTGAATGAAATGACTCAAAATCGCTTGCAATGGCGCAGGTGCATCAACTTTGTGTTCTCCCGAATCCTAATCTTCTGAATTCTTGAAGTCCCTTTCTTTTTCTCTTTCCAAATTTATTTCACTGGATTATACTCCTTGAATAACATCTTCAAACCCTAATTTTTCCGATTACAGCTTTTAATTTTACTGCATCTAGCACTACGGGATTTGAATCGACCACTGCATCTCTGTGTTAATGTGGTGTGGCAACTCGAACTAATGTATGTACGTACGAAGTTCTACGTTGTTACTGACTGACTGACTCTCACAGTGTTTATTCTATAGGACTTCAACACAACTCAGAGCAAGAACACGTGATTAGCCTGATTAGAACGTAAATATATTTCCACACCAAAACCGATAACAATCAGACACAATCCAACAGCAATTAACAGTCAGTCAATAATAATAAGGACAGGAGAGCATATAACTCATCTAACGCCTGTCAGACTATGTACAATTCTGACTAAGCAAACAACCAATCATTATAATTCTGGCTCACACATCAATAAGAAAACATATCTCAGAGTCTTATATTCAGCACTGGAGTTATTATAAAAAATGAACGCAACTGTGTACCAGTATGATTGGAATTGAATCTTATTACAACACAGTGTCACATGATATTTTACGATGATGGATGAAAACTGAAATTTATGCACCTCCACAGTTGAGATCGCGATTCGATCTAGGCTAGACCACTATTGAAAACCTGGAAGCACTGGACAGCCGTTCAGTTATAGTATGAGACCCCTCAGTAATGAGCTTCCATGGTCCTGCACACAGAACTTCAACGCAGAAACCTCGGTCTCGCGCGCGAACACTACCTCAAAACCACTGGGCCGGCATTCAACGGTGTTAATACCTGACTTCGATCGATCAATGAACTTTTGCAACTCTTTGTTCATTGTCTGAGGTGAATAACTCAAAAAGTTTCACATCAACAAGCCATGACTTCGAAATTGATGCCTTTCTATAAAATGTCTGACTTTACCGTATGAACGATTACTCGGAACTTGAATGTAACACTCAAAAGACATGCTTTACATCAAAAATAGACGGGGAGTATTAAACCACTGGCCGACTAACATTACGTTAAAGTTTAACCATGAAATACAAATTCTTAATGAGGTATAAGCTATCCGTTGTGTTCTTAATTTCGCGCTAAAGCCCAAGAGCAGTTATCTTAGATCTGATTTGCGTGTCAACGAAACACTCCTTTACTATTACATTTTCTTGAGGGATATGAAATAAACTAGGAAAATGAAGGTCATGTATAAAAGAGTGGTCCAATGGACATCTGTCTAAGGCATGGCCATGTGGCGGAGAAGATTTGTATCTCAGATAGATGATTTTGATGAAGATTTGTTCTCTGAGCTGGATGGTTTGGTCGTGGAGCTTTCATCCCTCTTCTGAACGACATCATCAGCACAAAGTTCGGGTAGAAGTGAAGTGTTCGAATTTCTTCACATGTGGTTCACAACTTGTCCTGTACACCTCAATGTTGATTGGTTCTTGTTGACCTTAAACCTGTCATTGTTACCTTCTTTGTTTTAGTTGTATCTCCCATCTACAAAAAAAAGTGCCTACTGCGAAAAACACTAAATCGGACAAAGCGGACACCCTCTTCATCTTCGCCTGCATGAACATCAATTAGCAGTCAAATGCCATGATATGTCCTCACTTATATCAATGCACGTGGACAACGGCGGACACATTCGAATGTGGGAATTTTGTATAGAGGCAACTCCCAAAACACCAGAGGATTTTTAGAAGCTTGACACTTAGGTCAATCAACAAGCACATTGAAATCGATCAAATTTATCAACCAATCAAAAAAATCATGAACAAACATAGAAACAAAAATCAAACCAATGGGGGATACAACCAAAATAAAGAAGTAAACAATGATAAGTTCAAGGTCAACAAGAACCAATCAACATTGAGGTGTACAGGACAAGTTGTGAACCACATGTGAAGAAATTCGAACACTTCACTTCTACCCGAACTTTGTGCTGATGATGTCGTTCAGAAGAGGGATGAAAGCTCCACGACCAAACCATCCAGCTCAGAGAACAAAACTCCATCAAAATCACGGCCATGTGTACAAATTTTCTTATAAAATTATATCGGTGCACTTTGAACCTTATCACTTTCAATGAAAATCAGTGGGGTAAGGGTCAGGTGTAAGTCATTTAATCAGCTACAATGTAGGGCACACATATGCATCGGTCCAAGTTGTTACACCTCATTAGCACAACAAAATGAACACCAAATTCATAGTAGTTAATTCAATGGTGGTAATATATAAAAGAAAGATTACATATAAGGATATAGTACAGGAAGAAAGAATTTGTTCGTAGAAAGAAAGATATGAGGTGAATATAATCTCATAGTTTAAGGGAAGACAGAGAGTGTATACACCTACACCATTGTGATCAATTCTAAGCCCTGTCACCCAGAGTCTCTATCCATTAGTTACGATAGTCATGCGGACCCCAACCAAGTGGTCTGCATCTACCAACATGGCTCACACTAGAAGTTAGTGACTTCAAGCACTGATGCCAAGTTTTGGCCGCCACTAACTTCCTGCCAAACGTCTCCAACACTAGTTAGCATGGCGCGTCGTGGTAATCAGTGTTCAGGCATACGTAACACGTGACCCAACCATACCAGTCGATGAAGATTCACAACCTTATCAACTGATCTACCATCATTACCTAATACTCTACGTCTAGCCTCACTATTACTTACCCGGTAATCCCAGCAGATGAGAGTAATATTTCTGAAACATCTGTGATCAAATACTAGTAACTTACGAGTATCTTCTGCCATTAATGGCCACGTTTCGCAGCCGTAAAGTAGAACATGACGAACTGCCGCGCAGTATACTCGTCCCTTAATTGATGGATAGATATCTCGCCTTCGCCATACGTAGCATAATTCGGCAAAAGCCAAACGAGCTATTTCAATCCGTGCTGAGATTTCGTCAGACACCAACCCATGAAGGCTGACCAGACTTACAAGATAAGTGAAGTTGTCGATGGAGGCCAGTCCTGTAGCAGCAATTTACATTTAGAGGAGTGAGAAGCGCGTCGCAAACATTCTGGCATTGTTGCCCAGTGCCACCAAAGGATTCTGCATTTTACCAGCATCTTCACCAAACAGAACTATGTCATCTGTGTATTCTAAGTCGATAAGTGGACCTCCTACTATAGTAGGAGATAAATTCCTGAAAATTCAGTCGACGGGCAAGTTATTTCCATCAGTATGTCTATGATGAAGTTGAAAAAAATGGAGATAGTGGACAGCCTTGTGAGACACCACTTGATGTTGCAAAATCAGATAACATTTCGCCATAAGTTCTGACTCGAGTGGTGGTGTTCGACTAAAGAGCCTTCACAAGGTCTACGTACTTCTTAGGTACACCTTTCAATGACAGACACTGCCACAGAGCCTCTCGGTCAACAGAGTCAAATGTTGCTTTTAAGTCAAAAAAAACTACCATTGTCGGATGCTGATACGTATGTCTGTATTTTAAAACCTGACTAATGGTGAATATGTGGTCGATATAGGAACGACCAGGTCTGAAGCCAACCTGATGACGTGTGCTATTGTTGCAGTCGATCTCTAATCTACGCTTCTATCTGGGAGAAGGCAGTACCAACAGTGAGGATGGTAAGAAATATCTCACTGTCCCTACACACTATAAACAGTAGTAAATTTTACCACTGAATTACAAATCTGCTGTTTCTGGTCTTCTTACAGCCTTTTTTCAACGCAGTATGACAAGAAATTAATGAAAATGTGTTCCAGCTAATGTAGCTAGATTGAGTCTTCACGATTAACAAGTTCAAATGCCTTGTTGAGGCAGAAGCTAAGGTTGGGAAGGATGAATTTATTTTTCCATAGGAAAATTTTTCTGTCTTAAACACACGATATGGGATTTTATACACTGTTTGCTGGTTGCCAAGTGAAATCATAACAAAAATGATCATACAGACCCTTTACAATAAGTAATTAAAACTACTCACATGATGAATATAAGAAATACATGAAAATAAAAGGTATTTATCTTTCTCCAATTCAACAACATCACGATCTGTTATCACGGTAGGATTGTGCTGACTGCCTGAAAGTTTTGAATGAGTTGGGAAAAAAACCAAATTAAATTTGTGGATGAAATTTCCCTTCATAAATTAGCTACTAAATATTATACAATATACAATATATTACACAAACATCCACACAAAACCAAAGTCTAACTTAAAGGCGACTACATATACATATGCTTGTTAATGGGTTATATGTATTATTTCTCCATCTTTGTATAGTTTAATACTTGTGTTTACCAGAGGAGGTATGCAGACCTAAATAGAGTAATAAAATGTACTTTTAAGAATTTATCGCCTTTTCAAGTGAACAATTGAATACAAATTTTATAGTAGTAAGAATTTACGACCAGATTATTTATACGATACTATGCTTATTAAAAAAATAGCAACCAGTTACCAATCAATTGACTACTGCCCCAAATGAAAGGTACAAATTGAAAATCATCCAAACACCATACACCATGAGAGCCAGCTGGCTCCATACGATATGTTGTTTGTAACAGACGAACTAATACTAGATACTTTGGCATTACAACAAGCCCAACAGCTAGGAGATCATTTATAGTTGATGCACCAGAATCAGTTTGTGCTTTTAGAATGTTCAGTTTGAAAAGACAAGTTAAAAACGCTAAGAAAGCCAATTCATGACCAGTCCCGTAATCGATACGTGTTGAATTTCCAAATGATTCAACTAAATAACCGGAAACTTCGTCAACTGCTTCGGTGTATAACACTGAATGAAATGGTACAATTAAAATGTAAAGGTAATACATGTTAGTAAATTACATCGTCTACATTTTTACATAAAACTAATAATAAAATATTCAAAACAAAGGATAGATTGTACAGAGTTTTTGAGGTTTTAACGTGAAAAAAATCCCTTGAATAAATGTGCTCATAGAACAAGTTAAAATAAAGATGAATCCCATGAATGCTGATTAGAGATTCTAACCAAGCATGGCTTGCATAGATCACATCCCAAAGCCTCTGACTTATAGGTTTAATCCAAAAAAGCAGTGAAGCCATATTAGTAAATAGATTCTTAGGATAGTCAGCAGTCATTTATTAATTCTTTTTAATCCTAGATCTCATATGTACCATGTTTTCCAACTCCCTTATATAGAAACTTCCACTATCACATTAAGGTATTCACTGGAGATTCTCTAAAAAGAATTAGAATTATGCGGTGGTATGATAGAATCGGAATGAAAAGCGAACTCTTCTTGAGGTCGACCGAATTAGGGGCTGTAGGGCGGGAGTTATTACTTGAAATAAGACGATATTCAAGTTGCATTTAAATTAGAATGTACTTTCTAAATTGCAATATTAGTACCATCGGGTAGAAACCAGAAATTTAATCTCAACAGTATCAGCTTTGCCAGAAAGTTATAGTCTACAATAGAACGTAGGATTCAAAGGCAAAAGATGTGTGACAAAGTAAGCATATTTACTTGAAGAATTTAATTATACTTAACTTTCATGTATCTGTTGTACAATTATTTAAAGCGAACGGTATAATTTTTCGAGGTGGTCTTTTTTAAACCGTTAAATGGAGCTATTTTTTACGTATCAAAGCCATTTTAGTCATAATTATGCTGTGAAATGTTTGCTCTATTTCAATAGTACGGTTTTTTAGTAGTTGGTACATAATTATAATTGCGTTCACTTAACATTGAATTGCATTTGTTAGGTGAAAGCTCAAAATATCATTCGTCTGCCCTTGACAGAGCCAGGTTTAAGCCTATAATTTAATGGTTGGGATTTACGTGTTTAAGCCATTCAGTGAAAAACGCATATCAACAGAAATAACATCTTCGGACCAGAATCAAATAACCTAAAGTCAAAGAAGTATTATGGATAAAGTAACAGGAAAATATTTTTCAACTTGAAACAATTGGTGAGTCGCATGGACGTTCATTCAGTGAACCAATGTAATATAAAACTGAGCCAATATCTAATTAAATATATTTTCTGAGACTGAAGTTAATAAATTCGCATATTGGTATCTTTAATAGCACTGTGAGAAATTAAAACAACTCTGCATGACAAAACTACTACTCTATAAGTGACATTAATGACTTGTTTTGAAAACTAATCTTTTTATTTGTCGAATATGGTTGAAAGTTATTGTGACTATAAGAAATAGAGCTAGTAATGACTAGTTTACATCTCCTAATCTACATCGGTTTTGAATTAGACATACAGTTTGCTACAATATTGAATTTCTCGAGTGGATAAGGTAGGTTAACGCTTTAATATCCTGCTATGAAATTAATATCACCGATAATTTAGGTCGGTCAGTTAGTGACAACGTAGAACTTCAGTTCTACGCCAGACCACAAGGGCTGATGAAACTTCCTAGATAAGTGAAGCGGTCGACACGCTCAACTACTTCACCCCCTATCATTAGTTCGGATCGATAATTTACAAAAGAATGAGCATGAAATTTTGTAAACTGCGAAAATGACAAAAGCACTAAGAAAAGTAAGGCCTTACAAAGGATACCGTCTTTCAAAATATAGTATTAAAAAAGACGAATATGAAGAAAATTAAAAATAAGAAGCGAAATCTCCGGAGAAAAACATAAATTCCTGCAGCTTGTTAATCTATGTATACAATGGAGAAAATGGTATACAGATTTAAGCTTAAAATATAGTAATAATGTCAAAAATTAACAAACATAGAAAACAGAAAGTCAGTCCAACTAGAACCAACACCAAACTTTTAAAATAATCATTTTAAGAACAACAAAACTGTCATTTGAAGTGAATACTGGGGAAGATTTTTCAATTTTAACCAGTCAGTAAAAGACAATAAAAGGCCTGGAACGACAATATATCGATTGAATTTTCCAAAACTCACATCAATACCCAAAGAAAGGTATTGAAAAAAAATCAATATGTAGAAATACAAAAACAAATAAAGTTAATATTTTAGTTTTACAATGAACTAACTTGGTGGATCAGTGAAATCTGTGGTACCATGATCATGAAAAATAGTTGAACTAATTTCAATGGCATTCTCTTGTAACCATGTAAACCATCGCCTAAATGCTTTATTTCCAAATCTCTGCGGCTGCTCCTCAGGTGGGTAATCTTTAATTGCTTGCTGTAACTTGTCAAGCATTTCACATACCAACATTATGGCCTGAAATAGTTACATTTATAATAGTAACTTCCAAAACACCTTAGAAGATTTCAAATTATCCTGGATTGGACGAGAGACCAATTTACTATTGACACTATTTATTAGGTTAAGAATCTCATTACAAGCGATAGAAGAAGTCCACTGACGTAAATCAGCTGGAGCAACAATTCTTTTAGTTAAACCCATCTAGTAAGAAAATAAAGGAATAAAGCTAAGGTGGTCAAGAACATAATTATATTGTCGATCAGTACCAAGTTGACCATGCGCATTTTGAATTCTATATAATTACTTCTAACTATAATATGATGCTTTCACAGAGTGCAATAATTACAACAGTGGTTATGAAAAACATAACTAGCTAACTAGATGTTATCCTGACCGTAGCTGCTACCCTGACGTCGCGATCGAGAATGCCTATCGTGACGACACAACAGAACTATATTGGCTCAGACACATGCTCCTCTAGGTTCCACTACGCTAGGCAAGTCGGTAGGATAATGGTAAGATTAAAAGCATCAACTTAATGTCCGAGGGAGAAGTTGTATTGCTGACTGTGGAAGGGTGCAACAGTAGCAAGGAGTCTCCCCCGGATAACCGGTACCTGCAGCAATGCTGCCTTGTGATAACAGATGGAAGAAGTTGACCCTAAACTGTCACACCTAACCTTAGCTCACGGATTACCATATCCGGTAGTAAGGCCTATTGTTATTTGGAGCTAACATATCAAAAACTTCACATAAAATGTCTGAGAGCGACCAGCATCAAGCATTTGTAATTTGGACTCTGCAGCGACGTCCCCAAGTCGTTGGAACAACCACTAATCCAGCTTCTTTTGCAGGTCGCTTAAGAGATATTCTTCCACGGTGTGAGCAGCCAAGAAGTCACAACCACCCTTATACCTCTAACGGTGCCCCAGACCACCTTGTTCAGTCAGTCAATAACAACGTAGAACTTCGTACGTACGTACATCAGTTCGAGTCGCCATACCACATTGGCACAGAGATGCAGTTGTCCATTGAAATCCCATAGTGATAGAGGTAGTAAAAGTAAAAGTAGTAATAGGAAAGATTAGGGTCTGAACTATATATATATATATATATATATATATATATATATATATATATATATATATATATATACTATATTCTATGAATACACAACATAACCAGTGAGTAAGAACAATTCAATTAATTACCTACTTTTTAATTATACTAATTCAGTAACAGTATATATCTGAATAATAGTTGGAAGTTATGTTTTGTGTTGATAGTGTAACTTATCAGTTAGTCAAATCAACATAAATGGAGCATGGATTAAAACTGCAGCTCATTACTCGTACTCAACTTCGAAAACACCACTTCCACTCATATTACTACATCATTTGGGACTATTTCCCATCTTTAGTAGACTATAAATAGAAATGTCGCCTAATATAACCAACTTAAGCATAACGAACATTCTTGGCGGACTTCAATTTTCTGAGCTGGATGTTTTAATCGTGAAGCTTTTATTAATCACCTGGACAACATTATCAACATAAGCTCTAAGTAAAAGTGGACAATCGAATTTCTCCACATATAACTACAAGCTTTTCTGCAGACATTGATTAGTTATCATTAACCTTTAAAGTATATTAATCTGCATTATTATATCTTATTTGACATTACATCACAAAAGGACATGATATTTAAATCCTTTAAATGATGGTACATACAGCCTTGAAAATGTATTCAGAATGATCTGTTTACGTGATTAATGAGGAAATGCAATATCAAATTACAGTTTATGAGAACCAAACCAGTGTCAATTAGGTTGAAATTTGGTTACAGTAAATTATTCAGTGTGAACACTATCCATGGTATTTTAATACAATTTAATGGTTTGTATTGATGACAAAGACTCAGTTCAAATATTTTAATGTTTTATTGATGTAAACTCGAAAAACAAATGTAATTGGATTGACTACACTGGATGAAAATTAAGAAGCTTCATCTACGAAACCGGTGTTTAAACTCCAGTTATTGGGACAAGGGAAATAAGAGGAAAGAATGGTTTCGTTCACAGTCATCACTCATCGTTGGAGGCTCAACAGGAGAATTCTGCTTGTATTGGAGCACATATTCAGACTCTGATTATGCTTTAATACGAGCACGCATATGTTTGTGCTTCGATGTATGAGGGAAAACCACATTGAGACCATTCGAGTTAAACTCAGTAGCGAGAAAGCCAAAAGTAGATTCCATGAACAACGGAGGTTACACTTAGGCGATTCTGAAAATCAGGCTGACCCAGATGTTGCTCGGAAAGATATACAAACAGCAGTCGAAAAATAAGCGCCCTGGTCGTAGCTGAATCGACCACATATTCACCATTAGTCAGGTTTTAAAATACAGACATACGTATCAGCATCCGACAATGGTAGTTTTTTTTGACTTAAAAGCAACATTTGACTCTGTTGACCGAGAGGCTCTGTGGCAGTGTCTGTCATTGAAAGGTGTACCTAAGAAGTACGTAGACCTTGTGAAGGCTCTTTAGTCGAACACCACCACTCGAGTCAGAACTTATGGCGAAATGTCATCTGATTTTGCAACATCAAGTGGTGTCTCACAAGGCTGTCCACTATCTCCATTTTTTTTCAACTTCATCATAGACATACTGATGGAAATAACTTGCCCGTCGACTGAATTTTCAGGAATTTATCTCCTACTATAGTAGGAGGTCCACTTATCGACTTAGAATACACAGATGACATAGTTCTGTTTGGTGAAGATGCTGGTAAAATGCAGAATCCTTTGGTGGCACTGGGCAACAATGCCAGAATGTTTGCGACGCGCTTCTCACTCCTCTAAATGCAAATTGCTGCTCCAGGATAATCTAATTGTGTAGAAAACTTAACTAATTCGTAGGGACTCAGGTGAGTGTTTGACTATAATTTACGAACATTTTGTTTTGTGTCGCAAAATACGCCTAGGTTTCTACCTGAAGTCACCGGTGACTCACTGCTTCTAGATACGTACCCTCGTTAAGCGAAGGCTTCTACTTCGTTCAGAACTAGTTGTATACTCAAGGCCGTTATCCGTACCTGACCTTGTGTAGACTTTGTTCAAATGATTCAAATGGTTCAAATGGTTGTGGACTGAATAGAAGCTTTCGCTTAACAGGCTTCCGTGTCTAGTAGCAGGGGATCACCAAATCCTCCAGGCAGGAACCTAGGTATGTTAACAATAAAAGAGGAAAAGAGATTGGTAAATCAAAATGGTTCAAATGGTTCAAATGGTTGTGGACGGAATAGAAGAAGCTTTCGCTTAACAGGCTTCCGTGTCTAGTAGCAGGGGATCACCAAATCCTCCAGGCAGGAACCTAGGTATGTTAACAATAAAAGAGGAAAAGAGATTGGTAAATCATAATGTGATGCTGTTCTTGGTCCTTAAGAATAGGTCAAGTTGCCTCTTGAAGGACTCCTGAGAAGTCGCTTGAACTAGCTCGGTTGGCAGCGAATTCCAGCTTTTGACAACTCTTAAGGAGTAGAAATTGTGTCTACATTCCGTCTTGCTATGTTGTGTTTCCAGTTTCTGGGTGTTACCCCTTAGGTTGTTATTCGAACTAAGCTTAAGTAGGTGTTTAAGAGGATGTCCAGAAGTGTTAAGAATACTATAAGCCATTAATAAGTCGCCTCTAAGACGCCTATGCTCTAATGGGTAAAGGTCTAGTGAACGGAGGCGCTCTTCGTAAGGTTTAAATTTGAGTCCTCGAACTGATTTCGTGGCTCGCCGTTGGATACATTCCAGGGTATCCTTATCGTTTTGGAGTGAAGGGGGAAATAATATGTTTCCGTACTTTAAACGAGGACGGATAAAACTATTTAAGGTTGTATGGAAAGTTTTTCCGTCAAACTGGCCAAAAATGCCCTTCAATGTTACCAGTGCAAGGTTTGCGACATGTCGCAGATGGACTACTTTACACTTTGAAGTGTTAAAGGTAAGTCCGTTATCGTCTGCCCAACTTTGAAGTCGAGTCAGATCCTCCTGAAGTGCCTGTGTATCGTCTTGGTTGCGTATCTCTCTCCAAAGTTTCACGTCGTCGGCAAAAAGTAATAAATCTGACGTTACCTGTTGAGGAAGATCATTTATGTAGATCAAGAAGAGAAGAGGCCCTAGTACTGAGCCCTGGGGGACCCCACTAGGACATTCCATAGCCTGAGATAAAGTGAAATTAACCCTAACCTTAAAGTGTCGATTTTTTAGGTATGAAGTAAGCCAATCGATTAGGGGTGGTTTGATACCTAGTCGTTTGAGCTTGTTGATAAGACACAAGTGGTTAACCTTATCAAAAGCTTTTGAGAAATCAAGGTAAATGACATCAACCTTTCCCTTGTGATCGAGGATGCTTGTCCATCTGTCCACCGCAGTCAGCAGGTTGGTTATACAAGAGTAACCCTTCCTGAAACCATGCTGTTGGGGTGAGAAGAAATTTAAGGACAGTAGATAGTCATTTAAACCGTCGCATATCAGGGACTCCATGAGTTTTGAAGGTAATGACAGAAGAGCCACCGGCCGATAACTTGAAGGTTCATTGCGTCGACCACCTTTGAAAATTGGTGTGATGTGAGCCAACTTCCAATTTTCCGGTAATTTGCCTCGGCTAAGCGAGTGTGAAAACATCACGCTAAGCGGCGTTGCCAGGATTGAGGCTGCCTCCCTCAGTATGGCAGGATGAACCATATCCGGGCCAGGAGAAGTGTCAAGTCTTAAGTGCTGCAATTTCCGGAACACCAAGTCAGCGCTTAGGTCCACTTCAGAAAGTCCTGTGGAATTGCAGATGAAACTGTCGTCAGTAAAGTTGATGTCAGCCGGTTGAAATGTTTGAGAGTAATGTGCCGCCAGAAGGTTAGCGGCGTCGCCATCGTTGTTGGTCGGGCCGTTAAGACCTACCAGTTGAGAAACTCCTGTTTTGGCTTGACGAAGAGAGGCTGCATAACGGAATAGGCTTCTAGGGTTAGAGGCGAATTTGTCCATAAGCTTTGTTTGGTACTGAAGCCTGTCTTCTCTTATAGCCTTCGTGCATATGTTCCTGATATGTTTATATTGCCTATACGCTCCATCGTTATTAGTTCGTTTGTATTCCGCCCAACAGTGCCTTTTGCGGCTTAGCAGGCGAAGGGTACGGTTCTTGATTACTGTAGGTGGCTTGCAGCTTTTGGGAACCGTTTGAGGAACTGAATGGTCTGTAGCACATAAGAGCGTGTGCAGTAAGAAGTCCCAATGACCATCCACATCGAGTTGAGGGTGAACATCCCAAACCACCTGTTGTAGATAGTCATGTAGAGCTGGCACATTCAGCCGTTTAAAATTCCAACGCAAATTATTGTTGGGATACCTTAGCTTAGTTTTGATGACAAAACTGAAGGCTATGACGGCATGATCGCTCTTTCCCAGAGGAGCCAGGATTGAGAGGTTGTCGACTAGGAATTCTTCGTTAGTGAATACACAGTCTAAGCGCGATGGTGTCTGACTGTTTCTCCAACGAGTTGCCGACCTCACATTTTCATATAAGCCCAAGTCATCGATGAGGTTGTAGAACCGAGCTTCAATTGAGTTGTCGCCTCCAGTGTACGTGTGTTCCGCGAAGTTGACTCTAGGGAGATTAAAGTCCCCTAGAATCAGGATGTGTGTGAAACCGAGACGGATAGAGCGGGATAGTCCTTCCAGCATACGACTATCGTACTCGATGTCGGCAGTTGGCTTCCTGTAAATGACTCCGACTAGACACCTCGAAGTACTAGACAATCTTACAGAGCACCATATGGATTCCTCAAGATTGTTAAACTCGAGGTTGTGAACTTGGTGCACCTCCAAGCAAGAGCTTATGTATATGGCTACTCCGCCCCCAATTCCTGTTTTTCTGTCGTTGCGGAACAAAGTCATCCCAGGTAATGCTAACTCTTGGTCCGAGAACTGAGAAGATATCCAGGTTTCAGATATTCCTATCAGATGGGCCTTATTAGCGTTGCTAAGTTCACGTAGTTCATCCAGTTTGTTTGGTAGACTCGCGGCGTTCATATATAAGCAGTTTATGCTTTCAATTTGGAACGCGTGAGCTTCGTCCTGTTTTTCTGTATGAACCTTATGTGAATGGACAGGTAGCCCACCTATATGAGGTTTGCCGAGGTGGTAGGCCCTGTCCTTTACACGTTTTTTTATCGTTTAGACAGTCCACAAGTGGAATGGTCAGCTCCAACTTGCCTTTGTTCTTGGTCCTAGCTTCGTATGGCCTATCCGGGTGCATGTGGATTCCAGGTGGCAATCGACGTCTATTAGCACGAAATGCTTCCAGAACTGCAGCCGCCATGTGGGAAGATGGGAAGGTTATCTTCATTAGACGGGGTCTGGGGTCACCGTCCTTCTTGGCTAGTCTCGTCACATGCTGAGTCAGTATGTGTTTGAGCCTCAAGGACTGTTTGATGAATTTCCATTCCCTGATGTCAGAATGTGATTGAGTAGGGTCTGCATTTTCCGGTATACCTTGAACAATTATGTTTCTACCGCGGAAAAACTTCTCGCGAGATTCTTTAGGGATGTTTCGTATGATATTGCGCTCAGAGTACGGTATGTCGGGCAATATTTTTACGTTACCATCTGATTTCAGCAAGTGACTTGCTAGCAAGACGTCCTCTACGTCGGTAGCATTCTTAAATGTTACTCGGAGAAGCCTCGGGTGATTTAGATGCTTAGAATCCTTTCCTCGAGTGAGCCGGGTGACCGTCAAAGGCTCTATTCTAGGAAGTTCAAGCTTCTTGTTCAATTCAATATAAGAGGTAAAAGAAATTGATAAATCATGGTGTGTTGCTGTCCTTGGTCCTTAAGAATGGGTCAAGTTGCCTCTTGAAAGACTCCTGAGAAGTCGCTTGAACTAGCTCGGTTGGCAGCGAATTCCAGCTTTTGACAACTCTTAAGGAGTAGAAATTGTGTCTACATTCCGTCTTGCTATGTTGTGTTTCCAGTTTCTGGGTGTTACCCCTTAGGTTGTTATTCGAACTAAGCTTAAGTAGGTGTTTAAGAGGATGTCCAGAAGTGTTAAGAATACTATAAGCCATTAATAAGTCGCCTCTAAGACGCCTATGCTCTAATGGGTAAAGGTCTAGTGAACGGAGGCGCTCTTCGTAAGGTTTAAATTTGAGTCCTCGAACTGATTTCGTGGCTCGCCGTTGGATACATTCCAGGGTATCCTTATCGTTTTGGAGTGAAGGGGAAATAATATGTTTCCGTACTTTAAACGAGGACGGATAAAACTATTTAAGGTTGTATGGAAAGTTTTTCCGTCAAACTGGCCAAAAATGCCCTTCAATGTTACCAGTGCAAGGTTTGCGACATGTCGCAGATGAACAACTTTACACTTTGAAGTGTTAAAGGTAAGTCCGTTATCGTCTGCCCAACTTTAAAGTCGAGTCAGATCCTCCTGAAGTGCCTGTGTATCGTCTTGGTTGCGTATCTCTCTCCAAAGTTTCACGTCGTCGGCAAAAAGTAATAAATCTGACGTTACCTGTTGAGGAAGATCATTTATGTAGATCAAGAAGAGAAGAGGCCCTAGTACTGAGCCCTGGGGGACCCCACTAGGACATTCCATAGCCTGAGATAAAGTGAAATTAACCCTAACCTTAAAGTGTCGATTTTTTAGGTATGAAGTAAGCCAATCGATTAGGGGTGGTTTGATACCTAGTCGTTTGAGCTTGTTGATAAGACACAAGTGGTTAACCTCATCAAAAGCTTTTGAGAAATCTAGGTAGATGATGTCAACCTTCCCCTTGTGATCAAGTATGCTTGTCCATATGTCCACCGCAGATAGCAGGTTGGTGATACAAGAGCAACCCTTACTGAAACCATGCTGTTGGGGTGAGAAGAAATTTAAGGACAGTAAATAGTCATTTAAACCATCGCATATCAGGGACTCCATGATTTTTGAGGGTATGGAGATAAGAGCCACCGACAACTTCTTCATTGGTCAGTATTTTTGCGGAACCATGTCTTTCTGAGCGTTTTCTCTTCATTCGTTCTTTTTCATCCTACACGTTGGTACACTCTACAGAGGCATCCTTATTAAA